ATTTTTTAAAATTTCACTGTACTTTGGGTAAGATCAGCTAGACCCTAATATTTTAATCAACATTTATTTTTCTTATTTTTAATTTTTTTAAAGATTTTATTTATTTATTGAATTTAGGGGGAAAAAGTGCAGTGGGGAGGGGCAGAAGGAGAGGGAGAAAGAGTCTCAAGCAGACTCCATGCTGAGCACAGAGCCTGACCTGGGGCTTGATCTCACGACCCTGATGAGATAACTACCTGAGCATAAACCAGGAGTTGGACGCTTAACCGACGGAGCCACCCAGGTGCCCCCAACATTTGTTTTTTAATGTATTTTAGAACATTGTTCTGCTAGTAAAAAATTGCCTTTATGCTATAAGAATTAACCTGATACTTAAAAGTGTGTTTAGAGCTAAGGTTATTTGGAACTTTTTAAAATTACGGTTTATAGGTATGACAAACTACATCCTTTTCATGGTTTTTTATTGATGGCTGATCATTTTCTGCAGCAAGAAACCATTCACTAACATTGGGCCATGTAAACAGAGCAGTTCCTTTCGAACTAACTTATGAATGGTTACAATTGTATAGATATCAGAACACATTTTGTGGTGTTCTGATTTTCATGTAACAAAATATATTATCATCTCTTTTATTAATCAATACCTAATACACCAGTAATTGGTAAATTTGGTTTTTGAATACTGTCTCATGGCAAGAGTAATGCTAAAATATTTTAAGTGTCCAAGGAAAGCATAACTCCTTCTCTTAACCCACGTATATGCCAAACATTAATGGACACTTAGGATACAAAGACAGCCTAAATTTTCCAGTAAAAATACTGAAATTAAGAATGCATTTGACTATATCAAATAAAGTTCTTACATTGTCTGAGAATGTTTGCATAATTACCAAACAGCCGTGACTTTATTGATCGTACTTCCTTTCATCATTAGCTTCATTGTTCTCCCTCCTTGAAGTAGTACACTTATTAAATAATTTTTTTTTTTTTTGTAGGATTTTTCTTCAATGTTTGTTGCATGCCAAGTGGATATATTGTAAGGGTAATAGACCTCTGGGAACACTATAGGAAACCTCACTTGATATAGTTAAATGCATTTCTATTTTTAGTATTGAAGGTTTTCAATGAACAATTTAGACCATCTTTGGATGACCTTATATTTTCTTTTGATAATGGTTTGAAAGATGTCTAGTAACCTTTAAATCTTTTTTTCTGGGTAGAATATTGAATGACTATGCTATTTAATATATAATTTCCTTTGGGGGGGTCATGTGCCCTATCTTAATTGGAAAATGCAGGTTCATAGCAACAGATGTAAAGGATTAATACAGTTAAGGCAGTGACAGATTTTCTACAAAGTAATTGGATGTTTAAGCTTCTTATAGAATATTCCATTTTATATTTATTTACATTTTGTTTTCCTTTGCTACAATAATAGCAGCATGGGTGGCTAAATTAAAACCAACAGATACTCCAGAAAACATTAATGTTTGCCTTTTAAAAAAAGAAACACACATATGCTTCCATGAAGGCAAACATTTTAACATAGATCCTGGCTGTCCATTAGAATTACCTGGGGGAACTTTAGGGGGAAAAATAGTTTTTTTTTTTTTTTTTTTTTTTAAGATTTTATTTATTTGACACAGAGAGACATAGCAAGAGAGAACACAAGCAGGGGGAGTGGGGGAGGGAGAAGCAGGCTTCCCGCGGAGCAGGGAGCCCGATGTGGGGCTAGATCCCAGGACCCTGGGATCATGACCTGAGCCGAAGGCAGACGCTTAACGACTGAGCCACCCAGGTGCCCCAGGGGGAAAAATAGTTTTGAGGCCCGTCAGATTTACTTGGTCTGGGATTGGGCTCAGGCATTAATAGTTTTAAGAAGTTCCCAGGTAAATCTAATGGACTTCCAGTTTTGAGAACCTCTGAAATATCCCTTTCAAAATGGAGCTTTGTTTTCCCCTCCCTGTGTTACTCTGTGAATCTACCCTGTGATATATTCCTGAGATTCCCTTATGGCAAGATTGGGAAAAACTGTATAGTCAACAGAGCAGAGTGCGAATAATTGAGGGTTCATTGAAAGAGCGTATTTTTTTCATGACATAATACTAGCAGCTGGCTGTACTCTGCTGCTACCATGGTCCTTGCAGCCCTCTCAAGTGGATCTTCTTGATTTCCATATCCTATATATCTCAAAGCTTGGTGCCCTCCTTGCTTCCTATTGCAACTTCCAAACCTTAGTTTGCCTTAGTTCTTTACTCTCTTTCACAGCCCATCTGCTTTAAAAAGGTCTGTTCTCACTGTCTCCACTAACTTGCCTCCTTTTCTTCCTTCAGCCTTCTCCAGTAAGACTTCCAGCCCTACTCTACTATTAAAACTAATTTTATCAAGATAAACAGTTACCTATACCAAATCTAGTGCCTACTTTTCATCCTAGCATCTTTGACACAGTTGAGCACTTCTTTGTCCCTGAAAACCTTTCTTAGATTTGGTGTAACCCACTCCTCTGTTTTCTTTTTGCCTTGCTGGCTACTTCTGCTGCTTTGCTGATTTCTTCCGTCTTCTGTCTGATCTTTACATACTCAACTGTCTAGAAGTTCCACTGTCAGTATTAACCTTTTAGTTCTGTATCATTTTTCCCCCTAAACTCTCTTTCAGCATTTTCATCCAGACTTGTGACTTTCATTAGGATCCAAATACTGATATTTTGAACTGATAGCATCAGCCCTGATATCCCCTCTGAGTTCTCTGTCTACTTGACATCTTGACTAAGAATCTGATAGGCACTTCAAACTCAGTATGTCTAAAACAGATTATTACTGATTCCCTGTCCCCAATCCTGCTCTTTGTTCATTCTCTTTCTTATTTTGTGAACAACGGTAGTTTCCCATTGCTTAGGCTGAATCCTTGGTGACATTCAGTTCCTCTGCCCTCTCTCCCTTGCTCCGTTGAAACCATCAGCAACTGTCTTCCACTTCATCTCCAACGTACAGCCTGAGAATCTCTCTATTTCTTTTCTCCCTAGACAGCGAGCTTTTAACAATGCGTATCTCCTACTTGCAGGGGAGATGCCATGATCATGAAGGTGGTTTTCTTAGGGTGAGCCTTATTCATTGCACTCTGGATGTGCTCACCCCTGCAATTCCCCCAAATGTGGGAAACTCAGCTGCATAATTTGTGGTAGTGGGGGACTGTGTTCACACTGCCCCTGAAAAAGATAAAATAAAAATGCGTATCTGAGTGCATTACTCCACACTTTACACTCAGTTGCTCCCTCCCAGCGCATTTAGAATAAAATCGTCACTGCTTAAGATGGTTTCTCCTAACCCATCAATCTCTAACCCATTTCCCTGATTTTTCTTTTATTTTAAATTTTTTTATCAGTCAGCCAGGTATGAAATTATGTTATCATTTTATTTTGTGAGTCCCCCATTCTCTTCCAGAATGTAAACTTCATGAATGTAGGGACCTTATTGGTTTAGTTCGCCACTGTATTCCTTGTGCCTAGAACAATGTATAGAGTGAATACTCAGTAAATATTTGTTGGGTGAAGAAATACAATTATTATATGAGTAGAAATGGAATAACATCTGTGGTAATTTTTTTTTTTTTAGATCAATTCCCTCAAGGAAATTAGTAACTTAAAGCTAGGTTAAAGCTGTTTAGCTATTACTATATGAGTATAAGTGAGTTAGGGTATAATTTGATTAGAAGATGACTTCAAGGTATTAGTTTTCATTATAGTCCCTCTTTTTTTTTTTCCTTCTATAGTCCCTCTAGATTTTCATGTGCAATATAAAATTCAGAAATGATAAAAAGGTAATTTGAAGTTTATATGAATAGTTATTTTTGTCTGCAAGTTCCATTATCATTATAGTTCAACAATAGCCAGTTTTTAGGTAACAAGTTGTGCCTTTTTATATAATGGATGAGTAGATGGCTAGTATCACCTAATGCCTGACCTCCATCCCTAGAGAAGACATGCAAGGTACTTGTTGATAATTTTACTGAGATCAGCTAAAAGCCTTTATTGCCTAAAAACAAAGCTTCGTTTACTCACATCCATCCCCAAAGTCAAACCTGAATCTCCTTTGTTACTAAGGACCATCCAGAAAAATTATAACTGTCTAAGGGGAGAGTATTCTGGAGCAGGAGGCGGATTGTGCCCAGGATGCACTTACGCCTTTCCCCACAAGGCTCCACTTCTGGAAATGAACATTTGGAATAGTACCGTTCTTTCTAGAGGGAGAGGAAGTGGAAGAATTTGAGGATTGGTGAGGATAAACCTTTAGTTCCTATAGGGCCAGCATAGTCCAAAGATATTATTTATATATCTAGCCTGTCCTTAATATAATAGAGTACTAGCTATTTTCTCCTTCATTTAGGATTGCGTATATCCATACAAGCCTCTGTGGTTCCTAAAATGGTGATTAATAACCCTGGGGGATATTCTTGAATGTTTAGAGGGATGACAGTGTATCTCTTTCATTCCTTTAGCCATGACACACTGAGGTAGTCTTAGGGTAGCAGATTCTTGACATCATCTAGCAAAGACAGATCTTCAGTGTTCACTAAATGCTAATTAGGTATAAAGTGGATTCTCCTTAGATTTCTCCTAAAAGAATATTCTTACTATAAGAACGAAAAGAATGCCATTAGATGGCTACTCCAAAAGTTTATCCCATAGTGTGGGACCTAGAAAGGGCATTATATCAAGACCCCAGAATAAGATACTTTTCATTGAGACAGCTGATAATGGCACATTCTATATTCTGTAGGAGTAATAGTAAAGATCCAAGTACAGCTACTACTTCTAGGAGTATTCTTTACAGGAGAAAGAACTACAGAAGTCTAACACATTGCTTTTTCTTTTTTCACTTTCCTTTAGGTATTCTAACCTGATTTTGAACTTGTTTTCCTTGATGGTGGATGCAAACATTCCAGATATTGCTCTTGAACCAGATAAAACTGTGAAAAAGGTAATTTTTATACATTGTCAGGTATATTAGTCTACTTTTCATATATAAAGGATATTAAGGTTTTAATAACCCATTTCCCCTTGATGTCCCTGACTCTAGACTCTTAAGTAACATAAATTAAGAAAGAGACCCTTTGGGGCGCCTGGGTGGCTCAGTCGGTTGAGCGACTGCCTTCGGCTCAGGTCATGATCCCAGGGTCCTGGGATCGAGTCCCACATCGGGCTCCCTGCTCTGCGGGGAGCCTGCTTCTCCCTCTCCCACTCCCCCTGCTTGTGTTCCCTCTCTCGCTGTGTCTCTCTCTGTCAAATAAATAAGTAAAATCTTTAAAAAAAAAAAGAAAGAGACCCTTTGTTTAATTTTTTTTACCTTCCAGAATCCATTAGCCTCTCCGGTTCCTGCAGCCAGTTCTGTTCATACCCACAGTCACATGACTAGGTCATTGTATCTACAAAGAAAATCTCCATTGTATCTATGACCCTTGCTCTTTTTTCTAGAAAGTTTAGCACTTCTTTAATAATCCTGATCGGTTATCTGATTCCTGGCACTCCTGGGCTATGCATGCTAAAGATCAGAGACAAACTATTAATGATCCTAACTGGGAGAAAAGAGCCATTCTTTATTCTTCCCATCCATATCCTTGGTTACAGGGGTTTCTTACAGCAGAGTAGAGACCTGCCTTTTAACTAGGCCTACAAGGAAAAGAAAAAAGGATAGTCTTTGTGTAGGTGAACAGTGATTCAGAGTTGTCGTACCATGAATTCTAGCAAGGAATGGGAGAAAGGACAGCAGATTTGAAGATATTTGTCTGAATTAGCTTCTGATTCTCTGATTTGGCGGGGGGAGGGCAGGGGGCAGTTGGAGATAGTATGTAGAAAGCCCTTTTTCATATCCAAAGATAACATAAGATGATCTTCAATATCAGTGTGATAACCAATATTGTACTTGAAAGAT